CATTTGATTAAGGATTGGGTGGGAATATAGTCATTCTGGACTGTTAAGTATAAATATCCATATATGCTTATCAAGAGTTTAATATTATGGGAGGTGTATGTACGGGTTGGATTTTACCATCGACATGCTTTCTAATACTATCTTTTAGTTAAATATGATTTCTGAATTTCGAGGACAAAATTCTTTTAAGGGAGGAAGAATGTAAAACCCTAAAAATTTGAATATTTTGTGATAAATAATAATAAATATGTTATATATTTATGAATAATATATTATGATATTTGAGTATGCTAGGAATTTATTTGAGATCAATTTAATGTATATATGTATATATAGATATATAAGAGTAAATGCACAAATCATGCTCGATGTATTAATCTAGAAATTTATAACTAGTGGAGAGATTTTATATTTTACACACTGATACCTTATGAATATGGAAAAACTTAAAAGACTAAAGTTGTAGATATCTTCAGCAGCTTTCCAACAGATCTTTAATCACCTCATTCTGAGGTCGAAGATTAAAGTTACAGCTAAAATACCAAAGAGTATGTTTCTAGTCAGACTGGGTTTTCCAGTTTCGGGTTTTGGGTTTTGGGCTATAGTTTTTTGGGTTTGCTGTCATATATACACATGTTTGAACATAAAAAAAATACCTCTTTTCTCCTATGTTCTAAACCCTAGCAGCCACTTTTCACCTCTCTCAAACTCTAGTTTTTTTCTTTGGTGATTTTGAGGGATTTCGGAGGATTTTTCAGCCAGTTTTGTGCAGTGCAGCGAAGGAGATTGGTTCTCTTTCACGTGGTAGGATTTTTTTCAGCATCTGAGATGAGTAACATCTCGTCCAACTTTTTACCCTTTTATTTTGCACGTTTTACTAAATTTTATCGGATTTTTTGAGCCTAAAACGTATTTTTAGTGTACAAAAGATAGATCTTTATAACTTACGAAGTGAGAATACATTATTATAATTTTCTAATTGATTACAATAGTAACCTTAACAAATTTTAGATCAGAAATTTATTAATCATGAATTAAATCATAAGTTTTTACTTTTAAAATGTTTAAACATGTGTATATAAATGGAATTAAATCATAAGTTTTTACTTTTAAAATGTTTAAACATGTGTATATAAATGTTTAGGGTTTCGACGATATATTTACATGCTAATATTTCGTTTCATGTTGTTTCATATATGTTGATATCAGTAATTTTATGCTTAGAAAATAATGATGTCACTTCTAGATTTGTTTCGAAGCAGACAGAAACCTGTGAAGAGTTTCTACCTATTTCGATTGATCGCCGGTACAGTTTGTGCATATTTACTTTTGTTATGTGCTTTAATATGAACGAGGAGTTGCCTCGAATATTTGGCGTTAGAAATTATTGTTTATTATGTATCTTCATATGTAAAATGACTTGCGGACATGAGTTTAGATTTGCATACTGAGACACGTGTGAAATTAGTGTATATGCATCATTTTCATATATCTCATCGATATTCTACGCATTTCATTCAGTCCATGTATTGGGTAATTATTATGTGCAGTCCATGTGTTAGACATTCATCATATTCAGTCCATGTGTTGGACATTCATTATATTCAGTCTATGTGTTGGACATTCATCATTCAGTCTATGTGTTAGACAATTTATATATGTAGTCCATGTGTTGGGCATCCACTACACCTAGTCTTAGTTTATGTGTGGACACCTGTTTAAACCTTGAGTATGACACTTATACTTACATAAGCTGGACATGACACTTATGTGGGTTTTGACATGACATGATATTTTAGTTCTGAGATGGGTTAGTTTTCTTTATATTATTGTTCCTGTATTAGATCTTGGGTTTGGTATTTAGGAATTTACAATTTGAGATACAAGGTATATACATGAGGGTTTTCTTATTTGGATTATTTCGCTCGACGTACCTATACTCGTGTTGTAATTTCCTAAATACTAAAATTCTCTTATTGTTTGGATCAATGATTTCATGTATATATATATTAACTGTATTTTCTATATGCAACGAGCTCTCTCCCTTGGGGTTGGTTGTGATGTTGCTCGCTAGCACTTTGACGCTCGTTGTCCCCTCCCATTTCAGGTAACAAGTCAGGTGCACGGAGAGTCGTAGGTTGATAACAATACTTATTAGCGTCCATCTTTCATTTGTAGTTTTATTTTATTTATGGAGCTCCACTGTAGATATTTTGTTTAGACATTTAAGAGTTATGCTCTAGAAGTTGTAAAGGATGTGTGCATTATTTTATTTTATCAGATATTCTATATTTGAGACTTGTTGAGATCTCCAGACTAGTTATTTCAGAGATTCACTTTATATTTTTGTATGTTGGATGATGAAATATCATTTTTTATCTATTATTTTATTATATATCTCTTGTATTATCTTTTACTTGCTTTTGTATATACACCTGTTGTTGACTCTACTAGAGAGATAGTAATTGTGATAGTGAAACATGTTATTGCACGGTGTGGTGCATGAAAGGTTTGATATTCCTGATTTTACCTCGGACTACAGCCTTGTGTGAACCTAGGGGCATCACAATTAGGGCAGATGGAGGCTTTCGGATGAAGGGCTGATTGGTTATGCCAGCTAGTGTGGGGATGAAGAGAGAGTTGTTTGATGAAGCACATCGTACTCGATATACAGTGCATCCAGGAACCACTAAGATGTACAAGGACTTGAGAAGACACTTTTGGTGGAGTGATATGCGTAGAGAGATTTCAGAATATATGGCTAAGTGTTTCACCTGCCAGCAAGTGAAGGCAGAACATCAGAGACCAGCAGGGACACTTCAACCTCTACCCATTCCAGAATGGAAGTGGGCGGACATTTCTATAGACTTCATTGTAGGGCTGCCGAAGTCGAAGAGGGGGAACGACTTAATTTTGGTGATCGTGGATCGGTTGACGAAGTTGGCACATTTTATTCCAGTGAGGACTACTTACACCACCGAAACATATACGAGGATATTCATACGGGAGATAGTTCAACTTTACGGGGTTCCAGACACGATTGTATTAGATCGAGGCTCAGTTTTTACCTCGTACTTTTGGAGGAGTTTTTAGGATTCATTTGGTAGCAGATTATTGTACAACAGTGTATTCACCCTCAGACAGACGGTCAGACAGAGAGAGTGAACCAGGTGTTAGAGGACATGCTGCAAGCTTGTATCATTGACTTTCAATATAGCTGGGAGGATCATATTCCATTGATAGAGTTTACTTATAACAATAGTTATCAAGCAACGATTGGTATGGCTCCGTATGAGGCTTTGTACAGAAGGCCCTGTAGATCCCCTATATGTTGGACAGAGCCAGAGGATAGCTTGTTGCTTGGACCAGTGCTTGTGAGGTAAACTACCAAAAAGGTAGCATTGATCAGGGAGCGTATTTTAACCGCTCAGAGTCGGTAGAAGAGTTACGCGGATCACAGATGACGACCTTTGGAGTTTCAGGTGAGAGATTTTGTCATACTGAAGGTATCGCTGATGAAGGGGGTGCAGTGATTTGGTAGGCGGGGGAAGCTTGCTCTGAGATATATTGGCCCTTTTCAGATTGTAGAGCGTATTGGGACTGTTTCATATAGACTAGACCTTCCAGCATCGATGTCTGGTGTGCACGACGTGTTTCATATTTCTATGCTCAAGAAGCACTTACATGATGAGGAAAGACAGCGAATATTAGATGCTCTGGAGATTGAGCTTCGGGATGATTTGACTATAATAGAGATCCCAGTTTGTATACTTTCTAGAGAAAATAAAAAACTTAGAAGCAAGGTGATTCCTTTGGTGAAAGTTCAATAGAACTGGAGAGGATCTGAGGAGATTTTTTGGGAGCGCGAGGAGGATATGCGTCGCGACTGCCCATACCTGTTTGAGCCGGTAAATTATTTGGATTATGTTTTCTTATGTTTTATGATCATTTTAGATAGTCATATTTATCTTTAACACTAGAATGAGGATATTGTCACTTAATCCTTAATCATTTGGGATACATGGTATATATATGGGGGTTCCCTGTTTGGATTTTTTGCCCGACGTACTAATTCCATTTTGTTAGGGATTAAGGTGTGAATATTCGTATTTTAGTCTGTTAACTTTAGATATTACTATGTTCATATCTGAAAATTAATGCTATGAGAGGTGTATGTGAGAATGACTACTCCCGATGTGCTTTTCTCGTATTATTAATTTTTAAGCTACGATTTTAAAATTTCGAGTATGAAATTCTTTTAAGGGGGGAAGAATGTAAAACCCCATAAAATACAGTGAATGAATTTTTTTATTATGAAATATATGTTTATATCATAGATGAATGTGATAACAAGATAAAATACAGTGAATGAATTTTTTTATTATGAAATATATGTTTATATCATAGATGAATGTGATAACAAGTGTTTGGGGATCAAACGAGTGTATTTATATGAGAAAGATCGAGTGATAAGACTAGCACACAAACAACATGCACCAACAGAAAATTTCCTGCGCGGTCGACCGTGGCGGTTGACCGTCGGGCGCGTAGCAGAAGTAGAAAGTTTCTATCTCTTGCGCGGTCAACTATGACGGTCGACCGTACGCAGTTTTGTCAGTTTTTCCTAGTTCGAGTTTTATTGGGTTATCTGAAAATTTAAAATAAAGGATTAGAGCAAGAGCAAATAAATCTGAAAATTTTTTCGATAGCCGAAGTAAGGCCGCGATTCAAACTAGAAATAAAACTTGAGCACAAAAGGCCCAGCTAACAGAAGAAAGATAACGAGTGAAAACCAATGGCCCGCAAAGAGGCCAATAAATCCCTATTATTTTGCTCAGCCCATATTACTGCCTAAAGGTATTTTACCCCAGCTCAATTGAATAATATCAGTTTGAAAACAAATGGGCCTAAAAGCATAACTTAAGCCCAGTTCAAGACCTCACCGTATCTGTTAATATTTTATAACAACGAGGACCTTTCTGTAAAATATGAGAGGGCTTTTGCAATTCAGAGCCCTAGCTTCCTTCCTTTTCTTCAATCATCTTCAAGACTCTCATCTCTCTTTGGCCCAAGAACTGGAGGAGAGCAGAAGCCAGAGCTCGTACTCAATGTCGAGACGGGAGGAGCGAGGCTCGTACTCGAAGCGCCTCCACTCTCGATCCGGGAGAGACCCAAGGTACCCAAAAAAACCCCTTCTGAATATTTGGGAAATGAGTGATAGGAATTTCTGAGTAGGGTTTGTCTAATTTGTCATATTATAGTTAGGGATTCAAGGAGGCAATCAGCTGAACATTAAATTGCACCAAGAACCATGATGATGTGAATTTGGGAGCGTTTTGTACCTAAATTAGTGGGCTTGTTGTGTGGATGGAGATAAAGAGAGAGGATGAAATTAAAGAAACTGCTAATCATAATTGATTAGTGTGTAGAGATTTCTAACCTAATCCGAAATCTCAAATTTTTGGGTCGACATTTTTAGGTTTGTCTTGTTACGGTTTAATTACCTCCAAGGGCTACTTTGCTTGCCATTACAGCAGTCCTCGGTGTTATCATTGCAATTGCAGATTTCTTTCCTACTTCTTGTCTAGTTGTGACGCACTTGTTCTTATAGGCAAACAATTAGAGTAGGAGAAAGCATGAAGTTCATCTTTATATTCAGTCATGTTATGTATTCCGGCCCGTATCTGTTCGAGGTTTCAAGGCTTCAAGCCATTTCTTGTGACCCCATTGTTTATTGTGCATATGACCCGAAATGTGGACTTGTTATCTTTGTCTGACTTGACGTCCTTGCATATGGAAGCTCAACTTTCCATTTCTAACTTAACGTTCTTATTCATGTTGACCGTTTTATTTGTTCCGTAACAAAAGTAAAACAATTTAATATCTCATGCTACATTAAAATGTGAATTTGTTCTCATAACAAACTATAAACTATGCCTTTCATATTGAACTGAATGGGGAAGTATGTTGCATACAATTTTCTATATTTCATTATGGTCCACATCTTGATCTTGTTAAACAGTGAACCTCATTGGAAGGAAGCCATCTTCATGGTGTGGTCATGGCTTAAGACATTTGGTGGATAAGAGGCCTATTGGAGCCCCACTAACTACTTAATTCTTAATGCCAATCAAGTTGCTATTTGATATTTTGTACAATTGGTTAACAGTGGAGGAGCTGTTGATATAACCTAGCTTTCCTCGTGATTCTTACATCCTTCCGGTAAGTATCATATCATCTGTGCACATGACGATCTGCATAAGGTACCTAGGACATGTAGTTACGATCTACATCCGTGCTAGGTAGTAATAATACGATAGCTTGAAGTGAGTGCAAGAGGAGTGGTAAACTGGTAATCGGTTTTGGTTTATGCATACTGAAGCGAGCGAGGGCTTTCTCAATGTAGCTTTTTGTGGCAATCACTTTTTTCTTTTCTATCTTTGAAAATTTTTATGCCAAGAATTTTCTTTGCTGCTCCTAAGTCTTTCATCTCAAATTTCTGCACGAAGTGGAATCTTTAACCTGTTCACCTCGGATTTATCCTTAGCTGAGATCAACATATCGTTGACATATAATAGCAGATAAATGAAGAAATTATCATTCAATCTCCTTAAGTAAACACATGCGTCATATTTGATCCTACTGAACCCATGACTGATCACTTGTATCATTGTCGAGGAGATTGCTTCAAACCATATGGAGAATTCTTCAATAAACGAACATGATATTCTCTTCCTTCAATTACAAAACCCTCAGGTGGTTGTATAAAATACTGCTCTTCAAGTTCATCATACAAGAAAGCTATTTTGATATCTAATTGCTTTAACACCAAATCATGCACTGCAACCAGTGATAATAAAATACGAGGAGCGTGTGTTTAACAACAAGCGAGAAAATATCATTGTAATCAATACCTTCAACCTGACTGTAGTTTTTTGCAACTAACCAAGCTTTATATCTTGCATTTGAAATACCTGTAGTGCCTTCCTTTTTCTTAAACACCCACTTACGGCCGATGATTCTTTGCCCTTTTGGAGGATACCAAATCCTCAGTCTGATTTTTATGAAGAAATTCCATTTCATTCAGAGCAATCAACCAATATGCAGAATCTCGTGAAGAAGTGACTTCTAAAAAATTGCTCGTTTCTCCTGCATCACCTATCTCTTGAGCTGCATCACCTATCTCTTGAGCTGCTGATAATGCGTATGCAATATTATCGATAGCGGATAGCGTCGCGTAGCGATGAGGCATCGCTAAGGCTATTTCAGGCTATTGTGGTAAAATAACGGTAAAAAACGCAAAGTCAAATAGTGATCTAATTTAGATATGTATAAATACTAAAAAAAGAAAAATTAAAGAAAAATCTTAGAAATCTAAAAATACATATTGGATGATTTAAAGAGATCCTAAACATGAAATAGACATGTAACCATCATGTAATACCGAATATGACTGGAGGAGTTAAAAAGTCGTCTTCGAGAAAAAGAGCTTAACGGTGACATGACTGTCCTAAAAGGAGCTCACGGTGAAGGAGGTGAGAGGAAGTATCAAGGTAGGTGTCAGAGGCTATGAGAGGTGACAGGAGTATGCTGAAAATCACAGGAGACAATGGAATGCAATGGTCAAGGGTTGAGTTTAATTTTAAAAAAATAAGCATTAAACCGCTTTTAAATTGCAATAAAAAAGCAAATTTCGAATGCAATCGCTCACTATTCACCGTTATGACACAATATTGACCGTTTTTGCGAACAGATATATTTCGCGATATGTCACCGCTATTGTGCGATAGCGTAGCGGGCGATAGCGTTGCGGGAAGGGACCGCTAACGCTATTAGCGCCGCTATTGCGGAGCTATTTACTGCTATTTATAACAGTGTGCGTATGCAATCACTGAATCTGATGCTATAAGTATCATCTTTTATTGTAATTTCTGTTTTCTCATCATTTTCAGGCAAACCAACAACTGGTTGTTGAATTGAACTGAGTATCGATCTCTAACTCCACCTTCTCTCTAGTACTCTTATGTGTAGTATCTGCATCAGAAAGAATAATAGTAGCATCTTTTTTAGAAGCAACATAGCAAACTCATGGAATATTATATTTTTCTCAATCATAAATTTAGGCAATTTAGGATATATCCTTTTACCCCAGAGGTATATCCAATAAAAATATATATTTTGGATCTTGGTTTTAGTTTACCTTGATTTACATGTGCATATATAGGACAATCAAATACTCTTAAATTAGAATAATCAGTACGATGGCCAGACCATAACTCTTCTGGTGCCTTACAATTAATATATGTGGATGGTGAGATATTCACTAAGTAGTATGTGCTTCAGCCTTAATTTTATTGACAACCCGACATTTAACATGCAAGGAGCTCTTTCAAGAAGAGTCCTATTTATCCGCTTTGCAACGTTGTTTTGTTATGGTGTGTGTCACACGGTTTCGATGTCTAACCCTCATCCTTGCGTAATTCATCAAACTCCCATAGAGTAAAATTCTAATCTATCATCGGCTCTCAGTCTCTTAATTTTTCAATCAGTCTGCTTCTCAATCAATGCATTTGACTGCTTAAAATGCTTAAACACTTTATCCTTGCGTTTTAGCACGTAAACCCAAACTATTCTTGAGTAGTCATCGATGAATGTCAATATATATCTAACATCGCCTTTCGAAGGAACACGCGAAGGACCACACAAATCAGAATGGATATAATCCAAAGTGTCTTTGGTTTTATGCATAGCTCTATTGAAATTAACACGCTTTTGCTTGCCAAGAAAGCAGTGCTCACAAAAATCATCTTTCATGTACTCTGACCACAAAGAAGTCCCCTCTTGTCGAGTATAGTCATGCCCCTTTCACTCATATGACCAATCTCATATATCACAACTTGGTGGCGTCATTGTGTGATAATGATGCTATAGTAATAGCAACAACACCTGTAACCATTTTTTCTTGCAAAATGTTGAGATTGCCTAATTTTTTGTCTTCATGATAACTAGAGCATCTCTAAGAATTGTCAAAATTCCATCTTCGGCTGAGTATTTGCACCTATTAGCTTGATAAGTGTCTAGAGATGAGATTCTTCGTCAAATCTAGAATGTGACGAACATTTGACAATGTCCTCACAATACCATCATTAAGACCTGATTTTAATTGTACTAATACTAATCGCTTTACAGTGAGAAGCATTTTTTATAAGCACAACTCCATCTTCAATTGATTTATAGGAGGAAAACCAATTCCTATTTAGGCTCATGTGATAAGTACAACTAGAGTCCAATATCCAATCATCATTAGATCTATTTGAATTTGTAGCCAAGAGAACAAAGCCATCAGAATCATCCTCAACAACGCTAGCCTTTGTGGAATCTTCTTTGCTCTGATTTTTCTTTCTTTTCTTTATTGTGAAGCTTCGAACATTCATTCATTCATGACATGCTTTTTCTTCTTGTAGTAGTTACATAATTTGCTTTTAGTCTTCGACTTTGATCTCGACTTGATTTTACTGTTAAAACCACGCTCCATGTTTCTACCTCGAGCATATATGGCTTCAACTTTACCATCGTTGGATCTGGTCAACTCTTTGTTCATCAACTCTTTCGATAATAAAGATGATTTCACATCTTCCATCGAGGTAGATTCTCTATCATATATCATAGTTTTCCCGAAATGCTTGTAAGAGGACAGTAACGAACATACCAGTAACCAAGCCTAATCTTCATCTTCTACTTTTACATCTGCATTCTCCAAATCCATGATAATAGAACTGAATTTATCAAAATGTGATTTAATAGATGTACCTTCTGTCATGTGAAGCATAGACAATCTTTGTTTCAAGTGCAGTCGGTTGACAAGGGTTTTTGTCATATAAAGAGATTCCAATTTTAGCCATAAGCCCGCTGTGGTCTTCTCATGCACGGCTTCTCGAGGAACCTCATTCGACAAGAACAATTAGGTTAAAGTTAGCACCTTTTCATCCATCTCAAACTTTTCATCATCGGCATCGACACCGACATTTTCTCTTTTCCCAACAAAGCCTTTTGTAATTCTTGCTGAACAAAAGAATAGCCCGCATATTTACTTGCCAAAAACCAAAATTGACATCACAGTCGAACTTCTCAATCTTATATTTTGCTGACATCTTTGCGCACAAAAGAAATAAAAATCCGGAGCTCTGATACTAGTTGTTAGAACAAGTGCACAATCGAGCGGTAATAATTGCGAAAAGCAAGCACAAGAATAAACGACAACCAATCACAAACACATATATTTATGTGGTTCATCCAATTTAAGCTACGTCCACAGCAGAGACGTCAGAGAAATTTTTCACTATCAAAAAAGAAAAGAGTACAAGAACTCACAAGGCAAAAGCCTACCTCTTAAAGAACCCTCTAAAACAGTCCCTTTTTTTGTTACAGGAGATGACGACGACTGGCTTTAAAAAGAAAGATATATAAACATATAAATAATTAAACCATCAACTAATTAGCCCCTGTGTTGATCCTGACCATCCAATGAATTGTTACTTGATCCAAGTCCATAAACGAATTTGATATAGAAGGACATGATTGGATTGAGAATCCAAATTCAAGTAGAACTCTAATAATTACAGCTCATGCCATTGTTTAAATTCTAACGAATTGATTGCACGAACTTCTTTAAATTCTAACGAGGCCAAGCCCAAATGAGTTCATGTGCATAGGCCCATTTGAATTCTAGCAAGGCAAAAAAAAAAAAAAAAAATCAATTGCTTAATGAACTCATAGCCTGTAGAAAATTATTGAGAGTTCTGAGGCATAATTCTTACAGTTTTTAAGCTCAAGCTTGTGCAGTTGTATTTATTTATTTTGGTGAATTGGATTTAGACAAACGCTTAGGACACACTCCTTTATTTCATTACTCCTTGACCTCATTATTTCTGTACCATGCCAAAAGAGTTTTGTTTTTCATTCATTATGTATGGGGTTATAACCCTTAATTTGTCTCGATAGAGTTTGATGAATAAGTAACAAATTAGGAGCTCCTATCCATAGAATACCCTGATGTTCATCACCTTTCTGATCATTTGATAGAATAATATAACTTGACAATCATATGTGTAAATATACTTCGTATTTTGTTAAACTCCACCTTGCAATGACTGAGTTCATTTTTAGATTGTATTTTGTCCCCTGTCATCTTCAGCTAGTTTTCTGTGAAGGGCAGAAAGGAATGAGTTACCGTGTAGACAGGAACTCAATAGCATTGTCTTTTCATTGTAGATACACTTGATGGTTTCCTACTCTAGAGGTCACAAGAGTTCCTTGAGTCAAGTTGGCATTTGTTTTGCTGTCAACGTTACAAGATGTTTTTTTAAGTTCATTATGGATCTTTCAAGCAAACTCATCAAAAAAATAAAAAATTTAAAAAACAAATAAAAATAAAAATAAAATAAAGTTTAAGAAAAAGAGAAGCCTCTAGCCGTAGTATGAGGGGATTTTACCCCAAAACTTATGGTTTTGTAACCTAGTGGATAGCAATTTACGCGTGGTAGAATGCGGAGCCTGGAAATCTTTTTGGGTACCAAGGGGGTATACTTTGGTTTCTTTTATTTGTTTCTTTATCTTTGTACTTGCAGTTAGCGTTACCAGATTTGTTGTCTCAGACAAGTTGATTTATGATGAATAAACTTATTGATATACATTCAATTAATACCTTCAGCAGTCCAAAGAAATCAAGAAGAGATGGGAAACAAGCAACAGAGAGAACATACTCCAGCAGTCATCGTCGGGATGTTGACACACTTGTTCGAGACCAAAAGCAGCACAGAATAGTACAAGATGCTTTGCCACTTGAAGGTCCTCCAACAGAAACTAAGGTGCAGCCTGAGACCATAAAAGAAGGTTTAGACCGAAAGGTTAATGGGCTCCCTGGTGGCATGAAGCATTCCTCTCACACCACGGAAGTACCAAGATCTCGAAATTATTTCCAGGTTTCATGTTTGATTCACACACTTAGACCTATATATTTCTGGAGATATTACTTTCCTGCAAGCCTGGAGATATTACTTTCCTGCAAGTCTGCATTTTCAATTATGAATATGCTAATTAGGAAATTACTTTCTGGTATCTTGTAGTAGTATCAGTTCAATGTGATTTGAAGCATGTCTAATTGGTACCAAGTGGTGTGATTACCTTGTCTATAAAAATCTTTTTGTGCAACTTGTAGTTTTATTCTTCATGAAACTATATGTCTGTGTGTGTGTGATTAATGGGTATCCTTGACAAGGAGGGAGATTCCCTCCTTGACAATGATGTGACACAATCATCACTCTCTCACCTATTTTATTCTCTCTCCTTCACATGGTGGGGATTGTACCACATCATTGTCAAGGAGGAAAATCCCCTCCTTGTCAAGGATACCCATTACTCTCTCTCCCCCCCTCTCTCTATCTCTCTCTCTCTCTCTATATATATATATATATATATATATATAGAGAGAGAGAGAGAGAGAGAAATATGAGTATGCTTGGTATCAAACATAAATTTTGTACTTGGTAGTGATGTGTCACATCTCCATCCACTCATTACCCATGTGAATGTGGTCCCATAGTTGAATGAGTGAGGAGAGGGGAGGCCGGGCACACCAGAGGGAAAGCTGAACTTTGTCTGTACTTGCGTACCATTGTGACAGGAACATACCCATAATTTTCCTCATACATATATATATAGCTAAGATATAATATATATATACTAGTATATATATATATAGCTATATATGATCAAGGTATATTATTAGTATATTATACTGATAGATATAATATAATATAAGTAATATGAGTTAATTGTATAAGTGTTGGTCTGGATCTGACATAAAGAACACAATTTAGAGTATAGTAAAGGCGGGTGGAGTGCAGTCTTTAAAATACTTATCTGTTATGCCTTCTTATAATTAGGGGGTATCTTAATCTTTCGTAAAAATATATGTTTGTACGAGCTTTGTCTAACGCGCTGACCATTGAATTTTGAGTAGAAATACCTTTTTTAGTTGGCATGGCAAAACTTCCTGTTGCCATTCTCCAACAGTTTAAAGTTTGATTCTCCCACACTACTATGAATAAATAATGTGGAACTGGGCCATTCGCTACATAACTTTAATCGCACGATTTGAATTCAAGCAATAATTATCTAGATTCGGTTAGTGGAGTACGAGGATCTGGACTGAGGTCTACTCCATCCTAGTCAACCAGTCCTGATCTTTGGGTAAATGGTAATGGCTGTGATCTCCATATTGATTAATATTATTATTATATTAGTTCTGTTGTGTGTTGGTGTGTGGTATATAATATAGTAATCATATATATATATATATATATATAATATATAATATATCATGCACATGAAGTGGCAAAGAGGTGCATTCCTAAGGCGGTGGTCCACCTTAATAATATATATATATAATATAATAATACTATATTAGGTATATATAATATATATATAATATATTTATATATATATAGACACGCGCAGGCACACACACACACATAATATACACACACGCGCGATGGCGCCGCCACACACATCACACACACACACACAGGCTCGACACCACATATTAATATAATATAATATATATATATATATATATATATAATGAATATATATATATAGTATAATATACTCATATATATAAGTATGGCAAAACTTCTGTCAACTTAAGTTGACGTCCATAAGTTTCTTATCCATATGATGATTACTTGATTGAGCGTACATTAGTGGATGATCCGCCTCCGTTAACTGGATCTACATATTCTAAACCCCAACACAACCAAATTTGGTGGAACTCGTTGTGGTTTTGACCCTCCGTCGTCGAGCCATGTAAAAAGTTCTATTCCCTCGAAAACCGTTATAAAATCTGATACGAGTGGATGAACGGCGTCAAACTACGACGGGTTCACCCAAATTTGGTGTGTGTGAGGTTTTAGAGATTGAGATCAAGTTAACGGAGCGGATCATGCCACAACTGTAGCTCTCAAATAAGTTGATCATCAATGGAAAAGAAAACTTAGTGGACGTCCACTAAGTTGACCAGAAGTTTTGCCTTATATATATATAGTAATACTATTATATATATATAGTAGGTATTTAATAGATATGAGAATAATAGAGGTGAGGCTGGAGCTCACTTCCCGTGAGCTGCCAAATGTATGACATGTGAAGCCCTCCCCACACCCCGGATGTGACTAGTAGGGGGCTCAATCATGTCATACACATTGCAGCTCACGGGAGAGGTGAGCTTGCCAGCTCACCTCCATTTTATCCTCTCTCTCTGCTTCTCTCTCTTATATAATATATACGTAATATATATATATAGGTATATATATATATATATATATAATAGTATATATGAAAAGTGTTCCTAAGGTGTCACCTTAGATTCAATCTAAGGAAGCACCTCTTGATGCCTGGATCAGAATATTTTAATGGGTGATCCGCTCCATTCATCGTGCTCTAATTGTCTCAAACATCTATAGAATAAAAATCATGATGTTTCAGTACTTATACACACGCGCGCGCGCGCACACATTACACCATCATTGGGGTCGTAGTATATAGGTAGCGCATTACACGCGCGCGCGCACACACATTACGCCATCATTGGGGTCGTTGTATATAGGAAATGCTTAGCTATATACTACGACCCCGATGGAGGGTGGCGTAAGGCTATTTTATGCGTTACCTATATACTACGACCTCGATGATGGCAAAAAAAAAAAAAAAAAATACCCCTTACGCCATCATCGGGGTCGTAGTATATAGGTAACGCATAAAATACCCTTTACGCCATCATCGGGGTTGTAGTATATACGTAACGCATAAAATACCCCTTATGCCATCATCAGGGTCGTAGTATAAATTCGTTACCGTTATACTACGACCCCGATGATGGCGTGAGGGGTATTTTTTTTAAATTTTCTTTTTCCCTAAAGGTTACGGTATATGAGGGGTATTTTTTAAAATACTCCTTACGCCATCATCGGGGTCGTAGTATATAGGTAATACATTTATGCGTTACCATTATACTACGATCCCCATGATGGCGTAAGGGTATTTATGCGTTACCATTATATACTACAACCCCGATGATGGCGTAAGGCTGACATGACAAAATACCGTCTCTCTTGAGCGGAAGCAACTCAGTTCTTGTTATTACTTGGAATGTTTTATATTGCATCCGAACTATTATTTTTTCATGATGTAGTGGGATTCTTGTGTGGATGCAAGTGCCTCTCGATGAATATGGCAATTTTAGGATGAATATAACAATTTTAGGCTATCTATGCATGTATCTACAGCACGATGAGCGTGATAGTGCTGGGCAAGGTGGTCGAAGCTCAGGTCGCAGGGCAACAGGTGATTCCTTAGTCACATTTAACTCTTATCAACTTCATCACTTGGGTTCTCTTGGGGCCTCTTTTTTTTTCATGGAATCCTTTTGATTTTCATTGGAAAAAGTGGGTCCCATGTTAATACTTCTATTAGAATGAAATTTCTGTGTCACAATTTCATTTTTGTTTTGGGGGAAAGTATGTCGGATTATGGTGGGATTTTGATGCCACATGAGTAAAATCATTCCTCAGAATTTCTCTCCTGTCACAAAGGATTCAGGAAGAAAGTGGAAAGCGAGTCTCATGCGCAATTTCCATTCGATTTTTCATCCAACCAAAACAAGTATTAGAAAATTTGGACAGTTAGGAATGTTGATTTTGTCAGATTTTCACAATTAAAATCTATCATTCAAGTAGCCCCTTCCCTTCTTTAATGTTCTATTCTCTTTGCAGATCACGGAAGGTGGAGCGAACCGAAAGAGCAGTCTAGTGAAAGGATCAGAGATAAATCAGCACCTAAAGAACAATGTGCAGATGATAAAAATTCTTGGAGGCATGACGGTTTCTTTGAACTGCAGAAGACCGAGGCTCCGCCTGCTAGGAAAAGACCGGCATTTCGAGAGAAGAAGATAGAAGCACCAGCAGAAACTGATGCAGCTGCAAATCCTACCAGAAGAGAAGAAAGAGGACATAATTCTCGGGAATTGGAGAGAAAGCTTGATAGGCCAGTCTCAAGAGCTGACGAGAGAAATTTTAAGAGAGGAGATGAGTATTATCAAAGAGGAGAGATGCAGAGAGGAAGTTATCAATCAAGGGAGAGGCTTAATGGAGCGGCGATAAGAGGACGAGAGAGGTTCAATGGACGACGTGGAGAGAGAAGCACAAATCAGTCTGGAGGATTTCAGGCGGAGAAGTGGAAGCATGATCTCTTTGATGATGCAAACAAAAGCCCGCCACCGAAGAACGAAGAGGAACAGATTGCAAAGGTCGAGGCCCTTTTGGCGCTGTAATGTCTTGCTGGTATTGGGATAGTGTGGATGAGAGTTGTGAGCTTAGAAGTGACGATTTTTCATAGGATTTGGCATGTCCGTGGAAGAAACTCTTTTAGTCTCTTTTGGGTTGTGGTAAATGTTTCATTGGACTATTTAGTGATGGTAAATGTGCTAAACTTGTATTCAGGTGTGACTGCTACTCGAAAATGCTGGTTTCTTAAATGGAAATTAGTGATATATTTTCTTTCTTGTGTATGTAATTTGGACCTTGATGGAACCCTTATACCGTTCTATAGGTGCCTGTTTCTTGATACCCGGTGCCGATATTTGTTGTAGGAGACAGGAAGAGGATGCAAAACTTATATGCTTATGATGGTATGAGCTCAGAATTGTAAAGCTTGTTCACGTACTTGAAAATAGTTAATGATCCGCAAATTGGAGCATGTACGCATGTCTAGAAGACCTCACCCGATTTCATGGGTTGCGCATGTTGAAATGTATGGGGATACTTTTTTCGGCAACAGGTATTGTTGTATCAGTACTCTCCGAAGTTGGGTTTTTTAGCGATCACGTTAGGGCCGTGGTCCATTGTTATTTGCCTTTTAAATGACATAAAGACATGGCCTCGCTGTTTTTTATTTTTATTTTTAATGAGCCCTTTTGAACCGCGTAGGTCGTCTCAAATCGCTCTTTATTTGTTTCAATTAGTTTATGTATTCATCATCCATCAACCTTTCCAAATCAATATTTGGAAGCATCCATATGCACTGTAACATTTCTTCTCTTGCCAACAAGAATTTATCCTCCATTCCTTTCTTGCAGCCTCGAGCTTTACTATAGTATTGCTTTTCTTGTCACCGAGCTTAGATTATTTTCCCAGCCTAAATTTGGTAATAGATGGAGTGTTGTTTCTTTTTTGTGATCCTGTATTGAGTTTTTTACCTCTGCATTTCACTTCGATTTTGTTTTTTTGTTTTTTTGGGTGATGGAGAGAGAAAACCGGAGAACATGTTAACGCACCCACGTGCGTCCACACGTTCATCTTCACACGTCTTCAACCTTCTTTTAAATGAATGATCGATGATTAATATTAAAATGGTCCCAGAACGTTGGATGTAAGCAAAGGAGATCGATGCTGTATCTGAACCCAACACTTGAACGTGAGATATCAAAACTCTTGTCCCTGCTATATATGTTCAGAGATATACAACAGAAAAAAGAAAAAAAAAGAAAAGAAAAAAAAAAGAGGTTGAATATTGTTTTGGAGGTGGATACCCACTCAGGAAGTCATGGTGTCCACTATGATTTCATGTATGTTCTCCATTCACTGACTCTGTACGCTCTTTGTCCAATGCTCTCTGAGATATTTGCAGCCTTCAGTTCAAAAATCTTTTGTTTGATTACTTCTTTGTTGAGCAAACAAATAAAGTGGAGGACGGTGGAAATAAGATGGTGACTGAGAATATACCTCGCCTTTGGAAGGAGATTGCCTGTACATATACGTGTTCATTAAAAGGTGCGGGCAGAAGAATATAAACAATAGAGGATCAGTTAATTAGCTCAAAATTTTTCTTTCGATTCATTGCTTCAAATGTTAGATTTTTGGCATGTACGTTGCAGCATTTGGATATTGGGTGCACTTTGCTAGCAATCCCATATGTGATTAAGACAGACTACAGGTGTCCGTTTGCAATTAGCCTCAAAATTTAACTGTAGAGCTAGCTTCGCTCATCGTATAAAAGGAAAATAGCTCTGAGGTTCAAACATATCAACGATAAAGAGAAAAAAATAACCTGCGTATTTCACGATTTTTCTAATTGCATTATATTCTAATCTGAATAAAATACATCTATGACTAACCGGATTGCTTAATTTCACCAAACATCCACATAAAGCACATAAATGTTGAAAACGGAGAGAGTGAATAGAATTGCTACAATTTTTTCGGATAAACTCAGAATATGCAGTGGAAAATAAATATGAAAAATTAAGAGCAACCAACACATGAACATACGAGATTTTTATAGTGGATCAGAATAGAATCCTACGTCCACTCGTCCTTCTAGCGAAGCGTATTCTTCACTATAACTAGAGTTATCTCTGAATCACAACTAGATTCAGTAGGCTTTATAAACAAGACCCTAAAATCTGCAAACTAGTCGAGATACCAAACTCCTCACAATGACAAGAATAAATCTAGTCTTAGCTAGCCAATATCAATTACCTTGTTTTAAGCATGTCAACCATCAATCACCCTGGCTTGACTATGCTATCAAACTCTTAAGTTTGAAATATAAAACCAACCCTAAAATAGTTAAAGTACAATTAAAAAGATCATACGACTCTTTTAAGACAAATCCTTCTTAAAATCGATATTGACGATAATACAAGAAGAAGTGATGTTGAGGTTGAACGCAAATGACACTCCTCCTCGCTAAAATGATCTCTCGATATTGAGCGCGACGAGAAGAAGTTGAACGAGGCTCTTGGAATCAAATTCTCAAAACTCAAGCTCTCACTAAAACCCAAGAATTTTATCTCACAAACTTGTGCAAATACCCCCCCCTCTCTCTCTCTCTTATTGTTAACCTCTTCTCCAATCCCTCCTTAAATTGATATTTATTGTAGTCTATCGATGATTGAAGCGATCATCAATAGTTGACTGTAGACCATCGATGATTTAATTTCTCATTTCTAGAAAAATATAGATTGTTGACTATAGTCTATCGATGACTTATGGACCATCGATTGTTTCCTCGTGACCATCGATGATTAATAGCTAAAATCAATTGTTTGTTTTGATTTTTGCATCTTTTTGAGCCGAAATGTTTTCGTATCTATTTATTCCCGAAATATATCATCTCACAAATTTATTAGTACTAAATGAGAGTTTGTTATTGATAGAACAAGAGATATTGCACGAACAACATTCTCCCTGAATAAAGTTCTAACAATCTCCCCTTTTGATAATAACAAAACTTGAAATTTAAAATCTGAAAAAGTGAAAAACACATGGTGAGAAATATATCTTTAGTTCAAGAAAAATATATTACATGTATGATATGCAATGTAAGCTCCCCCTACAAATATGCATACATGAAAAGAAACAAATAATCCATAAATTCCTTGTTCGAAATCAAAATATGAAATCTCCCTCTAAAATCAAGTAAGGTTGAAAGACATGTCATGTTGAAACTAATTGTAAACCAAACATGAAAACTTTATGAAAATACTCACAATCAACCACAAACAAACTCAGAAAGTTTTTAAATTTCACGTTCCCCCCTTTTGTTATTATCAACATAAACGCACACCTAGGATATAGAATATACCTAAAAATCTAAATACAAATTATCCAAAGGTGCAAGAAAGAGAAATACACACTGATTCATAAAAAATAGCATGAAAAATACATATAGAACTTTAAAAAATGAAATATAATAACAAGTCAAATTCACATTCAAACTATGAAGATATCAATGAAAAGTTTGTAAAAACAACAATAAGAGTAATTATATACATTTAGATATATCTTCTAGTTTGATCTTTCTGTTTTTACACAACTTGAATAATCTCAACCTTTAGAAAATGTCCAAAATATTGATCTATCACATCAATCATATATAATTTTTTTAAGAGGAAGAACAATATTATTTGGAGGGTAGTGTACACCATCTCTAAATATAAACATATTTAGCATATGATGGATACCACTGAGATATTGCACATTACATCAATGAATGTGGGTCTTTGACCATAACAAATATACTCAAATTTTGCAGTGGGTCTATAGAGTGTGTGTCTTTGACCATCTTTTTTACGAATACACTCTTTTGCTTGATGTTTTATAGCATATATGCACCTTTATACATGAAAAGTAATATTGATGCTAGATTCAAATATAAAAATTAAGCTCAAAACCTATTTGATTCCGAAAATATTTTATGATCGCCAAATAAAAACCTTTATTTTTTATTTTTACAAAACTAAACATGATAAGATTATACTATGATGTGAAAAGTAATATGAAGAATATCATAAACCATCACGTTTTCCAATCAAATATATAAAACTTTGTGTGCACATATGATATAGATAGATTATGAAAAACATATGTGAACCAACATGATAAAGCTCTTGTCTATATACCAACAGTTAACCTTATATGAATATCTTATGTAAAAATATATGCATAGGCATGTTCTAATTTTTTATTTTTTTAAAAAATAAAAAATAAAGAAAAAAGAAAATTTTATTTCATTTTGATTTTTCATAAGAAAACAAAGATAAAGAAAGAGAAATTTTTATTTTCTTTTTGATTTTTCATAAGAAGAAAAAAAAAAAAAAAAAAAAAAAAAAGTCTAACAACACTGCTAAAAAATTAGGCATCCTAGACGGAAAATTCCGTCTAGGATACATAGAATTCCGTCTAGGATGTGTATCCTAGACGGAATTCCGTCTAGAATAGCCGTCTGGGAAGTTTCCGTCTAGAATACTGTATTCTAGACGGAAATTCCGTCTAGAATACATCCTAGACGGAATATTCTAGACGGAATTGAAAACCGTCTATAATACATTCTACCCGGATTATTCTCGACGGAAATTCCGTCTAGAATACTTTATTCTAGACGGAAAAATTTTCCGTCTAGAATGAGTATTCTAGACGGAATTTCCGTCTAGAATACTCATTCTAGACGGAAATTGGTTTTTTTATTTTTTTTTATTTTTTTATTTAAAAAAGGCATCCTAGACGGAATTTTAGTATCCTAGACGGAATTTCCGTCTAGGATACTGTGCTACAGTAATTTTTTTTTATTTTTTTTATTTATTTTTTTTTTTTTACAGAGTCTACTTTGGGTGCATGTACACAATATTGAACAACAAAAAATTATATTCATATCCAACACAATCTAATTACATTACAATATCAAATCCCATTATATTCAAATAATACATTCACCAAAATAGTAGAGAGATACATAAATTGTTTACAAACTTTTACATAAATTATTTACAATGGCTATGACACTGCAGAAGCTTCTTCAACTCCTTGCTGAACTTTCCGCTTCGTTTCACACACTCCATTATTTCTTGCCTATATCAAGGGGAAAATATTTTCCATAAGTAACCAAAAGACATAATTGACAGTATATTGCAAAGAGAGGGAGAACAGACCGCGATAAAGGATGGTCATCACACCCTAAAAACGTTTGACCTCTAAAGTTTTTCTTCATGATTGCAATTGCGAGAGATGCAGCATCCTAGTATGCTAAATTGATGTAAATGTGTTTAATCAAAGCAAAGTATGCAAAAACTTGAATATTTCATTCATACATAAGAATATGCAGTCCGCCTCCGTCCAAAATGTGAAGGGACCAAAGCAGCTAGCTGTCACATTTGCTGTTTAATTCATCGAATAATGTTTTAAAACACCATTCGCAAGCCATAGCAACAAACGTTGTTCGATAACCTCAAGTTTACATAACAGTTGTCCATTTCCTCATGTCAGATTCGATCAATGAATATTTGTAATCTCTATACTATTATTTGTATTGATTCTCTGACACAAGATCACAAGCTTAACAAATGTAAATGACATAAAGTATCATATATTAATACAAACCAAGCCAAAAGAACAATAAAGAGATGCAATGTAAATAATTAAGCACATAAGTTCATCATAAAAGGTTCTTTCTAGCACTCCAACAAACGTTTTACGATATTTATCTCCACTAACAAAGATAAAAAACTGATCATAAAACTGCAAATTAGCCGACACTACTTATAATTGTAATCCTAGGTTTTCGAAATTAAAATCAATCGCATAATTAATTTACTTTTCGCAATTAAAATCATTAGGAAAAAAAAGAAAAAAAAAACAGAATACGGACCTCGATGAAATCCATGAGCAAGAACTCCGGCATCCACCTCGGCGGCCGGACCATCGACCGCCTAATAAGCTCCATCAGATCCTCCGGTCGCCTCGGCAACAAAACATCCGAAACATCCCTCCCCTCTCTCTCGACAAGCTCCCTCCTCTCCTCCTCACCAGCGACGATCCCCGCCGTCATCACCACCACCCTCTCCACCGCCCCCTCCCCCGCCATCTCCGCCACTCTATACGCCACAAACCCGCCGTAACTAATCCCCGCTACGCAGTACTTGTCGACCCCCAATCTCTTCATGGAATCGACCAAACACTTGGCCTGGAACTCGACGGAGCGGTCCGAAGCGGCGGTGGTCGAATCGCCGAAGAAGAGGAGGTCGGGGATGTAGAGGTCGAAGGATCTGGGGGAAAGATAGAGAGCGGGAAGGAGTTAGAAAGAGAATTGGGGAGGGGGGAGGGGGGAGTGGGGTTCTTAATATATTGATTTTGGGCTGAAAATTTTGGGGGGAGAAATTTCGATGTGGGGGGAAATTTTAATGGGTTAATTTTTTTAAATGAGCCAAAATATCCTAGACGGAAATTTCCGTCTAGGATGAGTATCCTAGACGGAAATTTCCGTCTAGAATATTTGGTTATTTATTAAAAAAATAAAAAATAAAAATACCGTCTAGAATACTATTATAGACGGAATATTCCGTCTAGAATACTTTATTCTAGACGGAATATTCTAGACGGAAAATTTCCGTCTAGTTTAATACATTCTAGACGGAAAAAATTCCGTCTAGAATGTTCCGTCTAGAATACTCGATTTTCTACTAGTGCAAATCTAATATATATACATACAACTTGAAATATGATCACACACATGAATACTAACCAAATAGATATGAAGTAAGTGCAAATAGTTAGTACATGCTAGTGTATCTCATCATGAATTTGAATACAAGTAACAAGTAAAGGTTATAGAATATACTTGAAACTTACCCTTATAAGAAGATAATATAAGACATATAACAAATCTGTAATATAAGACATATATCAAATCTGTATCTTCTCATATCCATGTAGACCAAATATTGGATTTTGATAATCTGAACTTGCAAGGGTTGACCTGCAAACCTACAGAAAGGCATATAATTGTGACCTAGGTATCCACATAGGTCCATGTTGGTTAGCAATACATGACCCGTTTTTCCATATAATGAGCATATAGAATAATAAGTTTTATTAGGAATAGGATCAAAACAACCAAGATTGTTATCCTTTACAAAAGGATATTAATTTTTTTTGTGTTTCCCAGAATATGAATAACTAAGTCCAGTTTTAGCTTTTACAAATCGTTGATTTGAAAGAACTATATTGAAACATTTTGAGCCCAATGGAAAATTCTTCATGGCCTCTTCCAAATCACTAATTTTAGACTTTAGCTATTCATTTTCGAAAATAATTATTGTGCATTGGATTTCAAACTTAATTTGTTCGGATGAAAAATCATAATATAACTCATTTATCTTAGCAACAAGTTTTTCTTTTCCACTTTGATGGTTTTTAAGTTACTTAGATAAATAAAAAATTTGACTTTGTAGCTTAGAACATTGTGTGTACATGAATGAGGTTGTATCTTTTGAATTCACATTTAAAGAAGAAAATTCAACTTTCTTCGATAAAAGTTTATTTTCTTTCTTCAGGTTTGTATTCTTCTTTTTAGTTTCTTCATGTTTATAAGTAATATTTTTCAAATAAATCAGCATCTCTTTATACTCAGAGTAAAGCTCATCATAAGAAGGACATACATCTTCATCCGAATACTCACCATCAGACCCACTTGAGTTATGTTGGTCTGAATCCGAAAACATTGTATCTCTTCCTATAAGACACATGTGTGCTCTTTTATCATTATTGTTCGAGCCACTCTTCGAATCATGCCAAGAAGTTATTTTGGAAATTTCCCCTTCCTTTTATAATACTAGTGGGTAATTCTTCTTTAGGTGGTCGGGTATCTTGCATCGAAAATATATTAAATCACTATTTGAATGATTATAATTACTTACCTTGTTTACATAGTGATTATGCTTGTCTTGTAGGTATTTTGACCATCTTTTGACTTGAAGAAATACTTGTAGACTTTAACAAATTGATCATCCTTATCTTCAGAGCTCGAGCTTGACTCATTCTTCTTCTTTGATCAGAATTTTTCCTTCTTTGCACTAAAGGCTAACAACTTCTTCTTTGAGTCTTCTTCTGAGGCATCTTTTTTTCTCTTTCAATCGAATTTCATAAGTGATGATATTTCCTACAAGATCATCAAGAGTAAGTTTAGAAAATTTTTGAAGTTCTCCTATTGCCGTTACTTTTGGTTCTTAATCCCGAGATAGAGAATGAAGTATTTTTCTGCAAAGCTCATTGTTATCATCCTACTTCCCTAGCACTTTTGACTTGTTCATGATATCGATGAATCTTATGAACATCTCCTCTATGTTCTTAGAGGCCTTCATCTTGAAGTTCTTATACTTAAACACAAGCATAGCAAACTTAGCCTTTTTAACCTATGAAATTTCTTTATGTGTAACTTCTAGTGTATCTAAATTTCCTGCATGTAGGACAATTAGAAACATGGTTAAATTATTCAACAATAAGTTAGTGATATAAGACATTCATGGCTATTGTATTAAGAGTAAATTTGTTTTTCCTGTGGAGTTAACCTATCATTGGTTAAAATAGCTATAATACCATCTACCTTAGTAGTAGGTTCTTTATACCCATGTTCTACAATCTCCCAAATATCTAAACTAGTGGACAATAGAAAAAACTTTCATACATGCTTTCCAATATGTGTAATTAGTACCATTGAAAAGTAGAGATCGGTTGATGGCGTGTCCTTCAGGAAAAGCTAAAGCAATGGTAATGCTTGACATCTCTACCTTAGATTGTAATACGTAAAGATAGGTAACGGGGCTCTGATACCACTTGTTGGAAATGTGATCTAAGCCTAGAGGGGGATGAATAGGATTGCTATAAATTTTTTGGATAAACTCAAAATATGCAGTAAAAAATAAAAGATGAAAAACTAAGAGCAACCAACACATGAACATATAAGATTTTTATAGTGGTTTGGAATAAAATTCTACATCCACTCTTCCTTCTCACGAAGGGCCTTCTTCACTATGACCGGAGTTATCCCTGAATCATAACTCGATTTAGTAGGCTTTATAAATAGGATCCTGGAATCAACCTGAAACCAGTCAAAATACCTAACTCTTCACAATAACCAGAAAACATCTAGCCCTAACTAGCCACAATCAATTACACTGGCTTGAGCATGCCAACCCTTAATTACCCAGCTTGAGTATGCTGTTAAACTCTAAAGTTTGAAATACAAAACCAACCCTAAAAAGTTAAAGCACAATTAAAAAGATCTCAGAGCACTTTTAAAATAAATCATTCTTTAAATCAATGTTGATGATGATTCGAGAAGAAGTGATGTTGAGGTTGAACGCAAAAGGCACTCCTCTTCGCTAAAACGATCTCTTGATGTTAAGCGTGATAAGAAGAAATTGAATGAGGCTCAGAGAGTCAAATTCTCAAAACTCAAACTCTCACCAAAACCCTAGAATTTTATCCCACAAACTTGTGCAAACATCCTCTCTCTTTCTCTTGTTAATCACTTCTCCGATCCCTCCTTAAATAGACTTTGATTGCATTAGAAAGAAGTCTTCTAATCAATATTGAAATATGAAATCAAATCTGTAATCAAAAGGCTAAGATTAAATTTGAAAATCTATCAAAATGGGTCTAACCAATCGATGGTTAAACACGATCATTGATGGTTAAACACGATCATCAATGGTTGATGACGATCATCAATGGTTCCTCGTAGTCCATCAATTATTTAGTTCTGATTTATGAAATTCAAAGATTGTTTACTGTAGTTTATCGATGGTTAAAGTGATCATCGATGGTTGACCATAGTCCATCGACGGTTCGATTTCTCAATTTTGAAAAATACATATTATTGACTGTAGTCCATCGATGACCTATGGACCATCAATGGTTGCCTCATGACCATCGATGTTTAATGGCTGAAATCAATTGTTTGTATTGACTTTTGCATCGTTTTGACCTGAAACCTTTTTGTACATATTTATTCCTAAAATATATCATCTTATAAATCTATTAGTACCAAATGAGAGTTTGTTATTGATCGAACAATAGATATTATATGAACAACGTTTGTTATGGTGCTTTCAGTCTCTAAAGTACATCCCTTTTCCAGGAACAAACAGACGTCCACTTGCATGCACCGCTCTAGTCAGATTGATGGTCAAAACCATCAAGAACCCTAACTTAGACGACTTGCCAAATTGACATCTCCTTAGGTCGACTCGAAGGGTGGTACTTGTCGGTCCTCTTGTCGAAGACGACTCGCTATGAGCCTACTCGACTAGTTATTCGACGCCTTACGAGGTCAACTCGAAAGGCTTTACTTCTCGACCAAGCTAAAGGACGACTTCAGCCTCGAGCCTCTCTTAATGATAGCATGTTAGCGTCATATTTAATGCTTAGCAGACGCATCATACCTCTAGTCCTGATAGTCTTCATGACTCATCGGATCACGTCAGCATCGTCATGCCTCCAATCACTGACCGGCACGTGTGAAGTAGGTGCTGACATAGTCGCCAACCCATACTTATTTATCACCATCCTGTGCTTAGCCAAAATGACGGTTCTAACCTTTCAGCACTGCTACAAATAGAGATACTATTCTCAACATAAAGAGATTCCTTTCCAAAAACTTTTTTTTCCTTGCTAAGCAATTAAAAAGAGGATTTTTTTCGGGAAAAGATTCTTTTTCCTAACAATTTCTAAGCCATTTCTAGGCTATTTTTCCAAATAATATCTGAGAATTACATTGCACTACACTAAAGCACTTACACAGTTCTTTATTTTTCACTTAAGTTCACCAGCTGACTTAATCGTTGGAGGTACAATGGGAGAACTAAGCCCCATCCTCTCATGAGTTGCTATCTGTGCAAACTAGAAGCTACTAAACTCAAAACCAGATATTCAGTGAAGTGAACGACCCCCTAATCAACATCACCCCTATATATTTGACTATTAGGTTATTTAACATTAACAGTTTGGCGCCTACCGTGGGGGTCTTCTTTCTTTTTTGAGAAAATATGTCTGGTTTTGAGCATAGGGCTGATTAGTCTCACCCTGTAGAACTACACTAGAGCTACGCTACTCAAGCTCAGCTTAAAAAAATAACTCAGAAGATTTCTCAATCCCTCCAACAACAACTCACAACCTTCACCAGCGAGCTTCTTAGCCGACTTCCACAGCCACATCAAGCTACTTCAGCTGCCCCCCCGCCTTCTGAAGACTTGCAGTTGGAGACT